AGTTATAAAAAGGGTGGACACCGCCACCCCCCTGTAAAATTTAATGCAAAAGTCCAGAAATAGACGAACAACCAGAACTTTCTATCAGAGTTTACAGCATGTGAATGTGAAGAAAGAATTATTGAATTATCCGCTAGAAGTGGCAAGAATTAATATGTTAGCACTCACTAAAGCATTAGAAAATGTGTGTATAAATGTACAATATTCACTAGAGCACTGAGATATAGAGGCGTGCCACACCTTATGATGGTAAACCAGGACCTGACTTCAGACAGCTGAAGAAAGATCTACACCTCTATATTGTTATTCAAGATATGACTCTGAATGGTTATTCAAGATTTGGCGATACATAGTTATTCAAGATATGCCTCTATATTGTTATTCAAGATACACCTCTACATAGTTATTCAAGATATGGCGCTACATTGTTACTCAAGAAATGCCTCTATATTGTTATTCAAGATACACCTCTACATATGGCGCTACATTGTTATTCAAGATAATGACTGTCTATCTTTCATGTGAAGAAATGTCAATGTGAACAGGGTAAACATGATACAGGCAAAATACTCAGCTGCATGCCTGTGGTCATCAATCTCACCCTATATCCACACACATGGACACCAACACACACATATACACCAACACACACACACACACATGGACACGAACACACACACACACATGGACACGAACACACACACATGGTCACAAACATGCACACATGGACACTAAAACACACACATGGACGCTAACACACACAAACAGACAACATACATCCTAATTTCCAAGGTGACACGACATCTTTTTAATAAAAGGTTCTTGGATATACTAACATTAACAAGTTAAAACAGATAAAAGCAGGATGAGGTTTGAACATTTTATGTCCTGAACAAATGCCCCATGCATGATCAGCTATTATCCACATATGCCAAGCAAGACATAATAAAGCTGTGATGTTTGGTTTGAGTACGCTAAAGAAACTGGCCTGTTTTATCAAACACCAAATTATGTTTGATACAAGAAATATACAACAGGTGTATTTAAAAAAAAAATTATTATTCACCATATTTATCGTCTCCTTTCAGCTTCTTCCACAAAATGTAGTAAAAGCAAAGAACTCTTGCTGCATTATTGGTACATCAGACCGGTGTTTTGGGAAATGAGCAGGCGGATAGACTGGTCGATTCTGCACCACTTGGTGGTGAACTGATGAATGACAAGCTGGATGATGTGAGGGCCCTTTGGAAGCCAGTGAACAGTGCCAAGGAACAGACAGATCATTACGGTCTGAGGAAAATGGCTCTGTGAGGAGTTACAAGGGGATCTGGCCAACGCTCGACACTCAGGGGAAGGGTGAGATGGATATACAATCAGACAGTTACTGGTACCATCATTTTAACTCTTTGCTTGCTGCTCAAGATGGGGACAGAGCACTTATGGGATTATGCTGAGTGCTGGGATGTCGATTCTTAATTGAACAATTTGGTACATCATATAGTACTATAACTATCTAATTACGGACCAATGGACAAAAAGTGGGTAATGTAGTCAACACTACATCAGCTGCCGTTACGTCCTATGACATTAACTGGTACCCACGTTGGACTGGGTCGACTGGGAAGTCAAGTCACAAAATTTACTAAAAGGTAAAAACATTGACTTTCTCAGATGGTAGATTTTTGTGTCTGCAAGAAACTGTTCATTCTAAGTTAATTTTTTCAAACTGCATAACCCTTGTTTGCCTTCCGGGACCCCATTACTGTGGAAAAAAACAACTAATTATTGATGTTTTTTCAAGGTTGGAGAGCATCTGCCTAAGAGGCAAGAAACCAACAGTCTGCTCACAACCAAGCCCGTTCTGTTAAAACTGATTGGCACATAAAATTAAAGTTCTGCAACAAGACTCAAGTAAAGAAGTGGACAAACAACCAGAAGAAGAATAAGAAACAACAACATAAAACTGCTTTCCATCAATTCATTGTTAAAGGAAGTCCATACACAACCAGGCCTGACCCACACAGTCCAGCCCACTTACACATTTGTTTTGCTTGGCCTAACAGCTCGCTGAATGGAACAGGATGATCTTGAGACATCTAGTTAGAAAACAGTTTACAAGTCATGCTTTGAAAATCATCAGCAAAGGCTATCCACAAATTTCCCACTACAGCAGGGCTGGAAAAGCAAGAAAAACAAATTTTTACTAGAGCATAATAATACTGGACATGGCATGAGACAATATCACGCCCAATAGAAGAGGTTATCGCCAGTGCTAAAGCCACAAAAGAGAACCTACCAAACAAGCCGCCATCTTCACGGACAGCCCAACAACAATAGCCCTGATAGACAGCCACGATATGACCCTGTCCATCCCCGTTCCAGGCCACCTCAGGCAAATGGCAGGCCTTCTTAGGGCTGCCCCACCCATTCCACAAAAAGCCGGACTACACCAACCAAGCCTGATCGAGTAGACATGACGCAGCAGCAAACACCCAAACTTAGGCGAGAAATGATCGCCACAACAAATCGAATTGAATCAGATAGCAAAGAAACCGTTCTCAATAAAGCAAGCCTTGGGACAGCTGAACAAGGTCCAAATTTGACATTTTTGTTTGGTTTCTACGATTACGATTCAATTCAATAAGAGTGATGGAATTATTTATGAAGCTTACAATTGATATAAATGTACAAGGGTAAAAATACACATGATGTCACAGGCATCAGAACTTTGGAGCTCAGATTCCATAAAGTTCCACCCAAATATTTCTTTAGGGGGAGGAGTAGGTCTTGTTCCCCCCTCCCAATGATTAGCATATGCTTCTTGTTGATGGCTGGCTATTTTAAACAGCCCTCCAGTGACTTCAAACAGACCAGACAGCGATACCAGCCTACCTTAAAGATACTGTCATGTCTGAGTTGATGCACTGATTTGAAAGAGGTACCGCTGGATTGCATTTTTCAAGCTATACTCAACTATACTGGTTGCAGTGTATAAAAAATCGTTTAAAATGATTAAAAGTACCTACCTGTATCTCTTAATATACCCCTGAGACTAAGATCATCTCAACTGATAAAATGTGTAAAATGGTATCTTCCTTTCTTTATTTCGTGTTTCTGATTTTCAGGTTTTGACGAAAGAGGTATCTTGTTGGAGCCTTCGTTTTCAGGTATATATTTTTTTTTAAACAACCGTCTTGCTGGGTCGGAATATCACTCATCACCTTCACCTTTGTTTAGACCACTCTACAATTAGCTTATTTAATTCCCATCTAAGTTTAGCAGACGAACCGTTCTTGTAGGTATCCCCTAAGTTGACAGTATTCTGTTTCGTTAAAATCGGTAAACATTGGAAAATATTACTATTTTTTAAAACGTTAAATAGCTAAATGTAAGAAGTGAAACAAACCTAAATAAATAGCCAGAGAAGAAAAGTATTGAATCATTAAGTGGCAATGCAGAATTCCTGGACGCACACATTTTCATCAGTTTTAAGACGATATGCAGGAGTCGGTGTCTTAAATGAGGTTTACCAACTAGACAAAAGTGTTCATCTTGTCCAAACAGTGGATACAGTGATTGCTCTGCAAACGTGAGAACAGCCAGGGCATCCTAGAGAAATATACATTTATAAAGACATCAATTTTCAGTACTGGTCATCACTTTAACTGTGCTACAATTGGTAGGACAACCCGCCAAGTATGGGCACTGCTCTTACAGAAAGAAACTGCAACCTACTGTGTTTGCAAAGCAAAGTCATATATGTACAACAATGGATTACTTTAAATGACGTGAATGGTAGTTCAATGTAATATAATTACAAAGAAAACTGACCATATAACATTCAACATCAAAGTAAATGGGACAAACCTCAAGCAAGTTTATATGTTTAAGTAGTTGGGTACCCTATAACATCAGATGTAACATGTATTAGGAAGTTAAAACAAAGACAGCACTTTACAAAATGAAAAATATTTTATGCAATCTTTCTTTGTCAATTGAGACGAGAAAGAGAATTTATAAAAAACTATATAAATCCTATATTGATATTATACAGAAGTGAATCATAATCAGTTAGTAAAGTAGTAAAAACTTATTTGGAAGCTGTGGAGATGTGGTTTTATAGACGAATGATTCTCCATGTAGGTTTCGGGTCCCCATTATGAGGGAAACAAGAATAAACCCACTGCCTGCCCAAAAGAGCATGTCGTAAGAGTTGACTAATTTGGAGCTTCCTTCGAAGTCAGAGTACATCTGCCTGAGAAGCAAGGAACTCACAGTCTGAAAGCAAATGCTCCGTACTTCTTCTAACTCAAGTCTGAGTCCGAAGAAGCTCAGCACAGCGCACAAGCTCTGTAGCACCGGCGAGGATCCTGAAATACTTTGGGTAGATGTTTTACTCAAAATTTGGCCCGGGCAGAGCCCCTAGGCTTCTCTTTTAGATTTCCAACTGCCAAGGGATTTAATACTTGCGCAGCAATACACACGGGCGTCCGATCTCACTACCCAGAGACCAGAGGGAATTACTAGAAATCTAAGTCCACTTGACAAAATCCCAGCCGCTACCTGGGATTGAACCCGGAACATCTAGCACTAGAGGCGGACACCATGCCTCGAGACACGCAGCCCCTGAAGTGCTATGCTGAGTTGGAAAACTAGCAAATATCTACAACAGTATTGTTGTGCTATTATTAAAGAGAATTAGATTCACAACTATGTAATACTACTAAATTATGTAATACTTACTTTTTAAGTATAACAAGAGGTAAGGAAAGTCAGGAGGGCATGGCTATGATAAGGATATTGACGGAGGTAAACTGTAAGTAGCGCCGCTCAGGATCTGGTAATTTATGCGATTGAGTAATTTATAGTCTGGCGCATATGGAGATGTTGGAAGACACGTGCACATCATACTTTGAGTGTTCACAAAAGTCACAGGTCTTACGCTGCCTCCAACTATGGGCAACAGAATAAGGATTTGCCGAGAATATGTCACTTTTTACTTCAAATTACCTACTGACACACATGTACTGCACAGTACAGTTAATTCCAAACTGACAGCAAGTTAAAAATGGGATGTCTTACTTGGAGGATTAGGCTGAAAGCCGCTTGTTGGGACAACAAAGACCGATATCTCTGAATAACACGTTTGTTCACTTAAAGACATGAAACCTCGTAAATGAATGGGTACAAGCGCTAGCGGTGCAATCCATTTTCAGTGTAAGTAAAAAAGTAAATATCCCTTTTCACGCCGTTAGGCGCATCGGGCATATGGGAAGAGCACCCATATTTTTACCAATCGGCACTCGGTGGGTAATGTGGTCAGCCTAACGCCGGCCGTCTTTACTTTCCCAGGACAGCCATCCTGGTACCCACTGGAGGCTGGGTCGACCTGCGACGCCCCATACCACGATAAAAATTCACGCAGCCCGCAGTGGGTTCATTTTCAGTATAAGGAGGGAAAATCTAGTAGATAGAGTGAGCGTCAGAAGAACTGATATTGATAATAGAACTAAATACACAGCAGTTTACGCAGATGTGTTGTTCAGGCACGTGTTAAAATCTTTTGAGTCCCAGGGGGGTTTAGCATCAGAGGCCCAAGGGACAGTCAAAAAAGAGGCCTAAAATCGGCACATCTTGCGTTTATTGGGCCTCTAGGTAGGAACCTATGAACGTATGGTACGTTCCCTCGTATGCTTCGACGTTACGGCTCATCAAGCCGCAAAATGAGAACCTCGAAGAAGAAGCTTTTGCATTTGACAATGGAGGTAATGGAATTATTCCCATTAGCCATTAGCTAAAGCGCCACCAGTTACTATCTGTGATTCAATGAGCCTTTAAAAAATAAACAGCGTTGTGAGGATGCAAGTTTCACTTAATCTACATAGTAAGTAGGCACAGCGTGGAATTTTTTAAATACTTTTAAACTTTGTCAATTTTTTAAAAATATGCTTCGTTGATATAAATTTCTGTAACCTATAGTGCCATTTCACGTTCGCCGCGGATCGGAAGGTCGTGGGTTCGCTTCCTGGGGGAGTTGGACTAATTTCAAAAATGACCTTGGCTCCTAGGTCGACACAGCCTTGAGTGGGTACCGGGTGCAGTTCCGGGAAGTAAAGGCGGCTGGTGTGATGCTGACCATTTTGTGCCGATTGGTCAATAAAAATATGTCTAGCACTTTACGATACGCCTGAAGACGTGAAAAAGGGGTCCTTTACTGTTTTGTATAGTGCCATTTCATTGGTTTGAAATGAATTCTGTCCGTATTCCATAGTTGTGGATTTCAAGCTGTACGATAGACATGGTCAATAAGACACCTTTTTGTGTGTGTGTGGCGGTGTCTAGTTGACCATGTTCTTTAGTGCACTTGTATACATGGCCAGGCCCACACGCCGTCTGGAGGTGACAGGTTCAATTCCCGGCACGGTAACTATAGCTTTTTTTTTTATGTTGTCTAGTGTGTTCTATCTTTCTAATTCTTTCTATGAGTGCCGATTAATATATTTTCTGTTACCTGATTAATGTACCACTATTTGCGCTCTTGCAGTTCGTGTACCTGTTTCCTATGACCAGCTGGAACATCGATTATGATTTTTTTGATCAATCCTTGTGCAAATGTTCATACATTTTCAGCATGTTTTTTTCTTTTTTGTTTAGTGACGTCTGGTTTAAGAGAGAGAGAGAGAGAGAGAGCGCAGGGATATGGTTCATAACTGCATAACATTCTACACAGATAAAGTTGTCCCAGCTGGGAAAATACCAGCCTTTCCTAACCTAATCTTCCATAGTTTTATGTTTGCTGGAATCTTAATATTTTCTTTGATCCGCGACTTTAGTTATTGCTTCATTTAATATTTTATTTCCGTGACTGTCATTTCGCTATCAGCGTAAAATGATAAAAGTAACAAATAACGATTAATACTGTTAGGTTAATTGCTTATCCTTTACAGGACGTTGCAGAACCAACCCCAACAGTCCCTGGCTGTTGCGTGGTTTTATTTATGTCCAGTAGTTTGCTTGTTTTCTGGACGGTCGGCTTTCTTGATACCACTGTCGAAACCAATGCAAAGCGCATGGCCCGCAGCTGGGATCGAACCCGGCATCGCGGCATTACGAAGCGCTCGCATCGACTTAGCTACAGAGCCGACATTAGTACTGTACCAGCTCTTATTTATTTTATTGATCATTTTAAGAAAGGATGGTAGTGAGATAACACTGCTACTAACAATGTTGAAGGCCAACTCAACAATCATATAGTTCATTTACTTAGCTATTGTAATCAAATCGGGACAAAAATGTTTTATTAACTTTTTAATCAGAAACACGTGCGTGAACATTGAACCTCAGTTTTCCCTATCTTGGTCTTAAAAAAAAACAACCCCAGTTTAAAATGAAAAATTAATTAGAGCTGCTCTTACCTGTACATGATGACATTCTTTATTATATGTCATTATTAATATGACTCCTTTGTTATGCTGTATAAATTCACAGAAATCGATTTCACATTCAGCGTCACAGTATCGTACCTACAGTCAGCCGTCACATGATCATAAATGACCGGATATGGTTACACACACCTTCGCAGCCACATGTGCACAACATTTAAAATCAGAGAATCAGCCACGTGAACATGAGGATTGGCACCTGAGACAACAGATCATGTCCTCCAAGACTGTTCTAAATACAACATATCAAGACAAAGCTTTTGGCCAAGAGAAACATCGGTGCAAGTCAAACTTTACGAGTCGCTGAGTGAATTACAAAAGTCAGTGAACATTGCAAATATAGATAATTTACTTCAAACGAACGAAAGAAGAAGAAGGTTACGCACGATTTTGTCTAATTTAACAAGACGCTGGGTAGATTAATGACTATTATAAGATTAAGGAAAGATTGTGATGTCAGTGTGTTAGTTAGTTAGTTAGTTAGTTAGTTAGTTAGTTAGTTAGTTGGGTTATCCTCATTGCACTCTGGACATGTCCATAGGTGCTCAGATCCTCCCCTCAGTATGAACCCCAACGTCCGATGGCTAATAGTACCAGTTCTATGTTGATTAACAAGTCTTCTGGCGTGTCTGGTGTGCGTCTCGTTTTTTGCTGTGCCGATCTTAATTCCCAAGTCTGCCATTCTGGCGAGTGATGTTGATTCACTGCCACCAAAGTCCTCTATCCTTCCCATTTCTCTGAGGGCACTGATAATATCAGCATGATCCATAGGCTGACCGTCGGTAGTGATAGCGGATCCAGCCAACCTGTCAGCTCTTTCATTTCCATCGACGCCTGCGTGTCCCGGAATAAAAATAAAGGTGACTCCACGCACAGTGGACTTCTGTAATGATTCAAGCCATTGTCTTCGCACTGAACCTGCCTGAACCCTCCGGATCATACTCATTGAATCACTGAGTATACACACGCGGGCGTATTTTTGTGTTGCAAGCCAGGCAAGGGCTTGCGTCACTGCCATCACCTCCATCGTCATGCTGCTGGTTGTCATGGAGAAGGCGCCGTTGGCTTCTTTGACTGTTCTGCCCGCTGAGCGTGCTGTAAATGCCCATACGCTTCTTCTTTGGCGTATAACGGATCCGTCTGTTTAGATTATTGTATCTGCTTCGTCTGCATTTTCACCGATGAGAGCGTTGACCTCTGCATTAACAGCAACAGGATTCTCTTCTCTACATCGCCTGTTGAGTGTGACAATACAGGAAAATGTACAAATATACGCCTGAGGCACAGGTATCCATTCTGCACCAGGTATGATGTCGGTTAGGCTGCATATTTGCCTAATAACATCTTCTGCCCGACCTAGCCACGATTTCCCCCTCTTCAGTCTGTCGCCCTTTTCACTAAAAAGCGCTTGATGATGTCAGTGTGTGTGTGTGTGTGTGTGTGTGTATGCGCGCGCATATGTACATCGACTGCTTCCCCCACCCCCACCATAGAAACTAGCGGCCGTTTAACCATTCAGTCATTTAAAATATATACGGACAAGTCGAGTACACGTTCACCCCCTCCCAGCCACTCAGCTGACATTCCTAGACTGAGCAGTATCCTTCTCTGTGCCTGCCGCTGATACATCCAGTCGTCACTATTTTCTCTAGTGCCTCATTCTCCTTCTACCGTATATTCCCCAGTAAAGCATAGGTTCTCAGTCAAGTCATTTCCTTTACAATAGCGTGCGGTTCAAAGCGTTTTCACAATCTTATGATAGCATAATTAATGCGTGTGTTGAAGCATGATTGCTGAATGTGTGAGAGCATGACTGGTGCCTGTGTTGGAGCATGATTGTTGCATGTGTGAATGCATTATTGTTGCGTGTGTTGGAACATAATTGTTGCATTTGTTGGAACATAGTTGTTGCGTTTGTTGGAACATAAGAGTTTCATGGGTGAGAGCATGATTGTTGCGTGTGTTAGGGCAACATTGCTGCATGTGTGTTTAGGTATGATTGTTGCATGGGTGAGAGCATGATTGTTGCATGTGTTAGATCATGAGTGATGCATGTGTTAGATCATGATTGTTGCATGTGTGAGATCATGATTGTTGCATGTGTTAGGGCATGACTGTTGCATGTGTTAGGGCATGATTGTTGCATGTGTTAGGGCATGTACACAGATACATACACACATATTCACATACATACATACAAACATAATACAGGCACGCATGCATACAGACACACATATGCGCACACCTACAGACACACATAAACACACGGACACACAGACTCGCACGCATACCCACAGACAAACACGCAGAATTATGTACACACACATGCAGACCCATAGACACACACACAGACATACACGCAGATACATACACACAGGCACACAGACACACAGACACCTAAACATGCAGATACACACATATACACACACAGACAAAGACACGCAGACACACTAACACTCAGAAATACACACACAGACGCATATACACATATATGCATACATATGTGCTAGCGGGAAGAACGAGAAAGGAAAAACACGAAAGTAGGGGACTAAAGAAAACTGTTATTAGGACAAAAGTAATTCTTCTCTGAATAACAAAAACAAGTAAAGAAAAGACAAGCGTTCTTCTGCGCAGGAACCATGAAATCAAATGTTCTTGGCCCAGACTCAGGATATATGTATGGTGAGTTACATAACAACAACCTCCATGTGCACGGACAACAGATTCTAAACTGAATCAAGCAAATGAATTATAATCGTCACATTAAACAGCTGTTTATTTAACTAAATACAAGAATTCTACACTTCACAGATAATACACTATATTGACATACAACATCGTGTCCACCCATACATGTGCTAAATACCTCAACTGACAAAAGTAAGAATTTGCTGCTAGCGACGTGACCAAAATACATCTCCGAGCGATAATACACACTGATATATCTCAACACAGTTTAACCACTAGAGATAAATTCAGATTTAACTATGGAGACATACAACCGGTCAACCAGTCACCCCCCCCCCCCCCCCCCCGCAATCGCCTGTACCCACGTTGTTTACCCCAATGTGCGGAGCCACAACAACTGGGTGGGTCTCCTGCCCTGAGCGACTGTGGCGTCAGAACCCAGAAGTCAAAATGAGACCGGTCCGGAGTGCGTTAGCCTTTTATACTCAGTGGCCAGACTTCTAGCTCGCTTTAAGCCTAATTAAAATAATCACTATCCGTTCTCTGGCGTCCTGCCACACATACATAATACAGTCATGCATGCATACAGACACAAATATGTACACACAGACACACATACAGGCACACATGCAGACACACACGCAGACACACACAGACACACAAACTCGCACGCATACACACAGACAAACATACACAGACACACACGCAGACTTATGTATACACACATATACATACAGACCCATAGACACAGAGAGACACACACATAGACACACACGCAGATACATACACACAGGCACACCGACACACAGATAACATATGCAGACACAAACATATACACACAGACACATATACCCAGACATACACACACAGACAGGCACACACACAAACACACACAAGCAGACACAAACATACAGACACAATAAAGTTACAAACAAAAATACATAGAGACACACAGACACACACCTAGGCACACACAAAGACAAACACACATCGATACATGCACGTAAACACACACATAAACATAGACATATACACACAGACACACACACGCAGACAAGCATACAGACAAGCATACAGACTCACACACAAATATACACAGACACACAAACAAAAACACAGACAAACACACATCGACACATGCGCGTAAACACACACAGAAACATACACAGACATATACACACAGACACACACACGCAGACAAACATACAGACACACACACACAAATACACACATCTACACAAAACAAATATACACACACACACACAAACACAGACACCCACTCGTGCAGACGCACACACAAATACAAACAGACACACACAAACAGAAACACTCAGACACAAACACAACGACACATACACACACGCGGACATAAACACACGCAGACACACATACAGACATTTAGTCATTCACACACACAGAAACACACACACAGATACACAAAAAAAAAAAAAAATTAAACAATTACCCATACAGACACTCATTCATACTTTGAATCATACGTATACAAACACGCCTACATATACACACATACATACATATTGCACACGTACATGTCAGACAGACACACATACATACATACATACATATCATGCACACATTATTTCATATTAAATTGCTTTTTAAGGTGGTATATAATCACTTGTAAGCATAAACTGAATAAAAAGTTAGCGATCAAATGAATAGGAACTTTTTGTATCTTTCAGATAAAATGGACGATGGTTCCACAAATAAGCAGCAGAAAATGCTAACCTTGATTTATACAATTCTATTTTAGGTTTAAAACATCGACATTCTAAACGAGTTAAACATCAAGGAGAACTGGCTCATAAACAGCATCCTGTCCCGAAAGTTAAAGTATTTTGGCAACATCAAACATCATGGTGGCTTGGAAAAGACGGTGATGGAGGGTACTGTTTGTGGAAGGCGAGGCAGGGGTCGACCACCATTTCAGTTTAAAAGGTCCAATTGTTTTCTCTTATAACCAAATAAGAGTTCAGATGATCACATAAGGTTACAGTGTTGGATAGATTGTTAAACTCTTCCCCAGCTTTTGCGGATAATCACATAAATCTCTCATTCGAGAAACCCGGGTTCGACTCCGGTAAGGTGATGGAGTATTTCTGTCTGGGGCAAAATTAAACATCCCAACCCGCACAGTCAGTGGCGACAGCACTAGCCAATGCTATCCTAAGTCCTGAGGCTTGAGACCTTCTGTCTACACCGCCCTAAAAAAAGTGGTACATACCTACAGTAGTGACATAGTTCTTTCCTTTAAAAAAAAAAAAATAAACAAGATAGCAATTGCTACATAGATGTATTCCTCATATTTTTCAAGCGATCACATAAGATTAAAATTGTTGGATAGATGTGTTAAACTGGTCCAGATACTTGTCCCGTCATCAGAAGCGGTTACACTTGTTACACAGATGTAGTAAACTCTTTCATAGATTTATGAATGCATACATAAGGTCCCATTTGTTACACGGATGTGTTGATCTTTTCCAAAAACTGTCCAGATGATCACATTAAGTTAAAGTTGTTGGATAAGTTAAGGTTAAAGTTAACTTTATATGCGGAACTGTAGAGGTGTTGAAACTTCCACATACTTCACAAAATGTTACAATTCTTACAGAGAGGCAGTAATCTGCGTTGTAAACTTCTCAACTATCACATAAACTTAAGGCTTGTCAACAGATGTCTTGACTTTCCCATAGACTTTTCCCAACCATGTTATCTTTGAAGATCGAGGGACGCTCTAGTGTTTGCCGCCATCTTGTCCAGGTACAGACGGAAGTGACCCGACGGGGTGACGCAGGAAGAAGTACAAGACACCGATGGAGAAACACGCAGACAGCACCATGTGCAATACCAAGATGATGCTGATTGTGATATTTTTCTGTAGAAGAAAGAAATTATATTATATAAATTAGAGCTGTACCGAATAGTGAAAATAACTATTCGGCCGAATACGAAGACGAATAGTGTATCATCATCATCATCAGGTGCCTTACCGACTGACGTGGGCGATTATCCCTCCCCACAATCTGCGATCTCCTGCAGCATGTATTAGTTCGTGTGCTGACACACCTCCATGCCATGCAACAAGACTGTCAATAATTTTCTCTCTTTGTCTTTCTCGATCCCTCCTTCCACAGTTTTTTCCAGTGGTCACCAAATGTTACATTTTCCCTCTGCTCATATCATGGCCGAAAAATGATGGCTGTCTCCTTCTGATGTCTGTGATTAGTTGCCTTCGGGTTCTCGCCTCTTTCAAAACCTCCTGGTTGCTTTTTATTTCTTTTTTGCTCTTCAAGGTATTTTAAGCATCGTTCTGTAAAACCACATCTCTGAGGCCTCAAGAAATTGTTTGGCCTGCCTACTGATTGTCCAGGACTCACAACCATATGTTAAAACTGGATGTATGTAGCAAACAAGAACTCTTTTTCTAACCTTTAATGACAAAGCTGTATTGCATAAGATGTTCCTTATTTTATAAAATGCAGTTATTGCCTGTCACCTGTCCTCTTTTCGACAGTGGCGAGGAAAGACAATTTAAATTTTACCTTTTAAGTATCTTCATGCCTTCTTTAATAATGTCACAATTTATAGCCGACTTTTCTTGATTTTCGCCGCGGCACCCCTGGTATACGCACCCAGTTTGAGAACCTCTGCTGTAATGCCTCGGTCGAGAAAGCAGGCAAAGACCTTGCCAGCTGCTGTACCACGCAACCGACTTAGGCAACAGCAGCTTTTGTGTTGATAAGAGAGTGCGGGTGATATCTGCAATAAGGAACTCCAAGGGCTTGGTATGCCGAAGAAGAAGAAGAAACAGAAAGAGAAAAAGAAGAAGATGAAGAAGAAGAAGAAGAAGAAGAAGAAGAAGAAGAAGAAGAAGAAGAAGAAGAAGAAGAAGAAGAAGAAGAAGAAGAAGAAGAACTCACACAACGCTGGACTTTCAGATCTTCCTTGGTTGTGTCCCCTGTGTCAGAACTAACATCGCCAGTAGTCTCCCTGCTGAGTCCGTTACTAGATAATTCGGCCATGTTGATATTGTATCTGTGTTTGCTTTCTGTCGGAAGGTGCAAAGTAGAATATACTTTATTACAACGGTTATCAGTTAGCAAAGACATGCGGACCACTCTTTAATAAAAAATCAGCCACCAACGTAGAGTTTTAAATAGCCATACTAAATTATATCAAATCAATCAGAACGTCGCTCTCTTCAAGGCATGCATGCAAGTCTCTCTTTCTCTATGTAATTCTTCAGCTCGATGTGCTTTCATAGCCACTGCATTTTCAGGGAGGTGGACATCCGCCTCGTTTTCCGGAAATTGCGCCTTCCATAAGCGTTCTCTTCAAAGAACCACGGAGCTTGACATGTTCAAAATACCTCAGCTTTCAGGAGCGCATGCTGTTTACAAGCCAGTTCTCCTTGACGGTCAGGTCATGCAGGATGTCGACGTTTTTCTTGGTACATGGTGTTCTAAGAATGTTTCTGTAGCATTTCAGTTAAAAAGCTCACATTTTCTCCTTCAAAGACTAAGTGAGAGTCCAAGACTCACATCCATTAGGTTGTCACGGGAAAGATGCATGATCTCGAAATATTTACTCTAACTCCCTTCCTGGTGCTATGCCATAGATTCTTCATGGTGTTTATCCTCTGAATTGCTAAAGCAGGCCTTTCACACCTAATAAATTATTACAATGTACAAACATTAGAATAAAAAAGATGGCAACGGATTTTCACCTTTTGTAAATAATATCACAATATCATCATCATCAAGATCCTTGCCTACTGGCGTGGGCGATTATCAGAATGTCAAGAATGTTACGCACGTGACATCACGGTGCAAGTGAACACAATGCCGCCATAACGATTTTTAAAGATGGCTGCACCATTTCTGACATGCACCAAAGCGGAAAATATAGTAACAATGTTGTCCATGTTCCATTGTGAAACAGATATATGGTGCTAGTCATAAATTGTATTGACCATCGGCACTGGTAGGGGTTATGGTAATTATTACCACTATCCCTTTTACATTCTCGGGACCTTTGCATGTTCCATTTTTAGGAAAATTGTAAATTCTCGTCTTGAATTAGATTAAAAACTAATGGCTTCAAGATTTACAAGCTCGTGTGCCAGATACTGCGACTTTCGGTTCTTTGTCTGGCCAACGCGAACTTTTAATTGAATGTGTACACCTATTCTCCATTTATGTTTATATTATCATACAAACATGTAACGACAGCCTTTAATTTAATTGTCCCCCCTGTTTTAAAATCTATCCCTTGTGGGATGCAATTTTTCGTTATTTGAAGCCCTACCCTGGCTCTTGCCAGGGGCCGCAATATAGCCCGGCCATAAATATGGTGTAATGGCTGAACGCGGTTTCTGGGACATCTCCACGGGTGATCCTCATCCACATGGTGGCACTTTGTGTCACCGGGTTTTTATCGCTTGTGTGATGTCCTGGTGGGGTAAAAGAAGATAGACAGATCGCCTGTTTTTCTGTTCGTTAGTCAATCAGAAGCGATGAGGATCGTTCTTTCTTTCATCCGTCATGAAACTGCAGTTGAATGTTTGTGAGTCTAGAGGTGACTTATAAGTCTTATACGTGCCCGGAGGAGTCTAGAACAATGAGGGCATGACACAGTTTCTGTAGACAAAGAGCCTGTTTGACGGTTCGTTGGATGAAATGTACAAAAAAAAAAAAAAAAAAAAAAAAAAAATGACAAGCGCAATGAATTGGATCTAAGTGAGAAAGAGTTGCGCAATTTCATCTACCCAACTGTATCTATCTGAATAAATTGACAGGATCCAGTGTGTTTCCTAATACCTACCACAACACCCGGATTTAAAACAGCCACAGAAGGATTCAGTGACTCTAATGACAATGTCGATAGCTAGCTGGTAAGCGATGAAACCAAAGACGACATAAATGGCTTCAACCTCCCCTTGGGATTTGTTTAGGTCCAGACCGATAACTATCAGTACAACTGTGAAAGAAACATCAAACTAGATTAGACAACTTAAAAAACGATGATGATATAATAAAAGCAAGGGATCCCTACATAAGACCAAACTGGTTTTTCTTTATTACAGCCCCACTCAGATTGGACTTCATTTTACTTCGTAAGAGTCAGGGGAGATAATATAACCTTACGGTTGAACGGGTTTTCTGGGACTTGACCTGGGGGATTCTCAACCCAGTTAGGACGCACTGCACTTTGCGTGACAATGTGTCAATCGCTTCGTGTGCGGTCCAGTGGGGTTCAATTTCACTCACTCATGCCATCAGACATAAGTGTATCATTTTCTTTCAAACACTGAGCCATTGACTTTCGCCAACCGTATTTACTTTCTAACATATCGTCTGGCACCAATTTCAGCCTGGGTCGCTCTTATTTCCCACACATTTTAACTAAAAAAAAAAAAAAAAAATGATTAACATGGAAGGTTCAATAAACTAAAATAAAACCACTTAATCGAAAGCATAAAATCTATCAGTCTAGAATATTGTTTGCCCTAAGTGTAAATAACAGTAAAAAAGTAAAGGACCCTTTTCCACGCCTTTAGGCGTATAGGGCTTATAGGGCTAGACCTATATTTTTATAGACCAATCGGCACAAGATGGGGATGTGGTCAGCATCACGCCGGCCGCCTCTACTTCCCGGGACTGCACCCGGTACCCACTCAAGGCTGGGTCGACCTGGGAGCCAAGGTCATTTTTGAAAATAGTCCGGCTCCGCCAGGGAGCGAACCCACGACCTTCCGATCCGTGGCGAGCGTCTAGCCGCTCGGCCACGGCGACCCCCTGTAAATAACAGTGTTGTAAGGAAACTATTTTGTCAGTAAACTAGTTGAATAAAGCGTTGATGTTCCCAGCATGGGCACTGTGTGTCTGTAGTAAAGCTAGTGGAGTGAAACATTTATTTGCACGGCATGAGTAGTAATGTATGGTACGTTTTGTCAGATCAGCTATGTATTTAATCTGCTACATTCTTTTTCTATATCACACAACCAATCAGGAAAGGGGGAGGGGAGGGGGAACCAAACACCCATTCAGAAAAGAAATGAAGCATAACAAATAAAAAAAAGTATGACATCAACAAGCCACGCAAATAAAATAAATAAATAATCAAACAACCAAGCAAACAATTAAACAGTTAAACAACCAGGCAAAGAAGCAACAATTTAAACAATCAAGTAAATAACCAACCATTTAAACAACCGAGAAAACCATCAACGATTTAAATAGCCAAGTAAACAACCAAACTGTTAAACAACCAAGCAAAAGACCAACCATTTAAGCAATCAAAGAAACCACTAATTTAAACAACCAAGCAAACAACCAATCATTTAAACAGCCAAGCAAACAACCGAGCGTTTAAACAGCTAAACAAACAACAAACTATTCAAACAAGCAAGCAAACAAACAAACATAAAAATAAAAATAAAAAACCATTCAGACAGCCAAGGAAACAACCACAAATTTAAACAACTAAGCAAATAATCAATCAAGCATCAATAAATTAACCAACCAAGCAACACAAAAATTACGCCAAGCCAAGAAAATGCCAAAGATGTGGTTGGGTTCTAAACAAAATAAGACAATATTGAGGTCTATAATTACAAGACATGGTCACAGTTTATAATAAGTAAAACGCTACTCAATCTCTACTTACATGACGTGGCCCAGGCAAATATACCGATTCCCCAGTGGGACCATCTGAACACGGGTCTTGATGGAGACTTGGGGTCAGGTCTGAACAAGGCTATCAGTGGCTGGTGAATGAATAGATTCATCTATCAAAGTAATATTTCCCCGTTGTAAATCTGAACAAAGAAGACACAAACAATAGATTGCCTGGCATATTTCGCTGTATTTCTGTTGAAATTGTACTTCAGCTATAAAGGATTCACTTATTTGTTTCATTTGTTTAATTGTTACTGTAGTATGCACCTGACGAGATACAGCCAAATATGCCAGGCAATAAATTGTACAATCTATTGTTTGTGTCTTCTTTGTTCAGATTCATCTATGGAAAAGGTTCTGCCACTGAGAGCTGTACTAACCGTTGAAATATTAGTAAAAGCGGACGCCCCTTTTCCCACGCCTTCTCGTGTTTTGGGCATATAGGGCTAGACCCACTGTTGAAATAATATGCGTTTATCATTACATAGTAGGTGGGTAAAGCAAATACCGACCTCCAACACTCTAAGCGTATTAAGTATATGGTGCTAATCCAGCATTGTGATCTTTTCATGGATCAACCGAACTCAAACTCCAATGTGGTCAATGTTACTCCGGTTATCTGTACTAATTAGAATAGTTAGTTTAGATTTAGGTTCAATAAACTGGTGAAATGATCGAAATCACTGCACTTTTATCACATAAGGTTTGGGTTCTCTCTGCAGAAAGTCTAGCCGTCTGCCGACAGCGTCACCTAAAGCACAAACTCTATAGCTCCGGCGACGATCCCCAGGGGTCACTGTAAAAAGTTGCACACGCAAACCGCACGCCGCCGCTATGAAACGAACCCACACACCTCTGAGCACAAGGCAAGTATCTTGACCACTTCGTCATGGACCTCCACCACCACCCCCTCCCCCAACATTTGTAGAACAAGTGGGTTTCTGGAACAGTCAGCATCTACAACTTAAGTCATTTACTGTGGGCGATGGAGCATCTATAGGTACGCCTGGTTTGACGATTATTACAAATCTGTAATCATCATCATGTAGCAGGTCCTTTGTAGACTTCGCTCTCATCACCGTTTGCCTGAAATAAACTCGGCCTGTCGCAAGCTCTCATGCGTCAGTTATATCCTGTACAAATCCTTGTTCTCGTCGGCCCCTACCCCTCCTTTCTGGTACCATGCTTTCTGCTCCCCCCCCCCCCCCAATCCGCCATGGCGCTTGATGAACAAAATTAGCAATCAGTTATTATTATACAACATATAATTTGTTGCCTCTAGTATTTATTTTAGGTCAAGCGAAAGCTGCCTTTCAGAAAATGAAAAATATCCTATGCAATAAATCGCTCTCATTTAATGTCAGAAAGAGGCTGCTCAAATGTTACATAGAACCTGTTCTGCTGTATGGCAGCGAATTTTGGAATGTCAGTGAACAAATTTGGAAGAATTTGGAAGCAAAAGAGATGTAGTCTCTGAGACGAATGTTACGAATACCTTGGACGGCCAGAGTAACTAACAACGATTGTTTGAAAGAAGCTAATGAAAGTAGATCTCTATATACAACAATAAGAAAGAAACAAACACTGTTCTTTGGCCACGTAATGAGAAGAGAGACATTGGAGAACATCGTGACAACTGGAAAGATCTGTGGAGAAAAGGGTAGAGGCAAACCAAGAGAGATGATGCTGAATGGGCTGAAACGATGGCATGGAGGGATATCAACAAGAGGGCTGTTCCAGGCAATCAGGGATCGTGAACTGTGGAGACGCATGAGCGTCTACGCCAGTTGGCAGGGCACATAATGATAAGTATTTATTTATGGTCATGTGCTGTTACAGTTGTTTAAATAATGTTAAGAGCTATTTGTGGTGAAATACTGAATTCTTACATTAACCAACGTGACAATAACCAGAATCAAGCCCAGCGGTGGATGGAGAACTCTGTAGGCCTTCCCTGGTGTTTCCGGGATCTGAAAGAGACAACGAGCAACGAATAAAATTAGTAAAAAACTTACTGTATGTAATCACGTACACTGATGTTATGGGAGCTTCAAAAAAGCATTCTTACATCTCATACCGAGCCATGTTTACGCACTTGTTTTGGATTTTATTTATATTATTCCGAAAATAAAAACAAAGTGTTTACCCTAAACCTTCCTGAATCATTGTTTTTAATGTTTTTGTTTATGTCAAACCCAACACATCCCTTCTATTTATCTGTATGTATCTGTATGTACATCAGCCAGACCTGCTAATTATAATAAATATATATATATATATATATCCGGTTAAAATGGACGCTAGACAGCGGCGCTGTTCGAAGCAGAGGCAAATTTTTTGCTTCTGCCGGACGGTGGCCGAAGTATTTTTGCTCCATTTGTAGACTGGATATAGTTTCGTCGCCCAGCTTCTGAGTTGAATGCATGGCGTGACCCTGTGAGCTGCGGATTGCATTTGGAATGTATTTTCGACTGTGACCAACGTGGTGGTGTGAATTGTAGATTCAGAAAATGGCGTGATACCTGTCGTGCAATGTTGGCGATGCCCGTATGTGATTACAATTGATCGCGTGGGCAACTGCTGATCTGTTGGCGACAAGTTCTGCTATCATCAATGATGAACTGCATTTCTAATGTTGGACTGTTTGTGTTAGCACTTCGGATGGCTACCGTATGCTTCAATGCGAGTGTATGCTAGATATGCTGAGACAGCAGTCTTGTCAATCTTTCCACAAGGAACTGTGATAAGCATTTTGAGTGTTTTTCATTGGCACAGTAGCGGAGCAAAGATGGGGCAACCCGTTTGCTATGAAGCTGAAACTAAGACTACCAGACTACCAAACTACCAGACTACCAGATATATATATATCATAGTTGAAAATAAATAACGTTGAATTTTCAGTATATGTTTATCGCTTTACATGTTATAATTTCGTTCCGATCCAATAGGGCGGATAGGAGGGCTTTTACCACTGTACTAGTCATGCGTTGTACAGTATTGAGTGCCTGCCTTCTAATAAGTTGTAACCACCAGTTCTAATGAAGATGAACTACAGTTGTAGTGGCGGAATGTTCATGTTGGCACTTCTCGTAGCTGCCTTAAGCATTTCTTCTTTTTCGTTATCGCGTTCACTGGCTGTAAACACTGGTGGACAATTCTGGTTGCTCCTCCACTCCTTGTGTTTGGTCATGATTCAGAACTTGAGTTTTGCGTGCTAATCCGTTTTACGTATGTTGCTTATTTGTGTAAGGACTGTTGGTTGGTTTCTTGTCACGACTTTGAGGGAAACACACCCATTTAATTGCCTCCAACGACAGGCTTGATTAGGATTTTTTTTAAATAGAAAAGGGGGGGGGGGGGGGAGTGTGCATCTATTTTTGTTCTCCAAAATGGAGTCCAGACCTCCAGTGTGGACCCTTATGTATCTATTTAGTGTGAATGCTAGTGGCTTTGCCGAGATGCAGTTTGATTACATTTTAAAACAAACGACAGTGATGGTGTTCTGTGCGATTTCCACTGCCATATGAACTGAGCAATTATAGGTGACCTATTAGCTTTAAAGTTATTTTTTTTTTTCATAATGAAAAACGCGTTTATGTTTTTCCTATTCTCTTTTATGATTTCTTGTTGACTTCTGCCCACCATTTGTTATTACACGTGCAAAGCAGCAGCAGCGTGTTATTTTAATTTTTAGTCAAGTTTAAGTTAAGTTATGAAAACTATGATACACTAATAAAAGGTAAAATACACCAATTAAAGCAAGATACACCAATAAATGTAACATTTACTAATGAAAGTTAGAAACTCAAATAAAAGAAATATACAACTATAAAAGTAAGATGCACCAATTATTGTAACATACACCAACAAAAGTAAGATACATCAAGAAAAGTAATTTACCCAATAAAAGTAAGATTCATCAATAAACGTAAGATACGTCAATAAAAATAAGATATACCAATAAAAGTAGGATACATAAGCACATATAAGATACAGCAACAAAAGTAAGATATACCAGTGAAAGTAAGACACGCCAATAAAAGTTAGACGCGTCATAAATCGAACTCGCCACCTTCAGAGCGTAAGGCAAACGATTTCACCACTTCACAACGAAAAAACCCCATAAATACAAGTATGAACGAACCAACGAATTGAATTTTGTTTCCCTAAGGGTCACATATTGGACACGCAGTACCATCCTACATTCGGCCTTTTCGAATGCTGATATTTTATACTGCAGTTGTATTTTGTCTTCAGAACATGGTACGTTTATTTAACAATATGAATATTATAAGTAAATAAACGTAGGGAACGTAAAGAAAAGGTACTCACCACACTGTACCCTTTGGATTCGATTACGATAATGACACATCCAAGTATCGTAAGTAATGCTGTTATCACCATACAAAAGCGATGTATCTGTAAATCAAAAAGTAGCAGATTATCTCATTCTCTCAGCATAACAGTAAACCGAAAAACCACTTGCCAGCTGCCTATTAAATAATAATAATAATTATAATAATCATAACAAAAATAATAATAACAAGAAGAAGAAGAAAAAGAAGAAGGAAGAAGAAAAAGAAGAAGAAGGAGTGACATTCAACCCCACCAGGACCGCACAACGAGCGATAAACATCTGGTGACACAAAGTGCCATTATTCGGATGAATATGACTCGAGCGCAAGTCTGAGAAACCCCGTTCAACCATAAGATTATACTAGGGCCCCTGAAAACAGCCGAAACGGGAGCTTTAAAATACCGAAAATGTGCTTCCCATATTGGGACGAAGAAGAAAAGAGGAATCTAAAAAAATCTAGTTCTAATTCAGTTTATCAGTGGGCCGATTTCTGCCAAGACTGATACAAGACACTAAGGATGCATTGTCTATGAAAGCACATAGGGCTGGAGAACTGAACAGAGAAGGAGTGATTTTCAGGCGTGCCATGGGGGAAGTGATCTGCTGACTGATGAAAGGACACATGCAAAGGGTGATAATCTTAGGAGAAACGATAAGTGTTACTCTTGCAGATTTGTACGTTTTCAATGTTAACTTCCCCTTACCCTGGTACTTTAGAAAGTCTAAAAATTATAAATGCCAACATTACAAAATAAAAATAAAAAAATTAGAAAAATAATTAAGTTGCGGAAATATGATTTCGTCTGCTAACAAATAATAGCATCTCTCTCTCTCTCTCTCTCTCTCTCTCTCTCTCTCTCTCTCTCTCTCTCTCTCTCTCTCTCTCTCTCTCATTCAGAGAGATCCCCCAAAATAACCCTATTTTACGGTAGAACGGAGCAATTACAAAACAAAGATATTAAAGATACCTGTAACAGACAAAGCCGATGTAAAACAAGAGACAACAGGAAATAAACTAACAGACCAATTTACTTATTTAGTACTAATTTTGATAGTGAACGAAACACAAAGAAAGAAATTATGACACGCGCTAGCAAAGGCATCGGCAGCTTTTATTAGCCTAAACAAAATATGGAACTCTTAACTGTATAGTTTTAAAACCAAGTTACCTATTTTCAATAATAATGTTATTTCAGTTCTAACACATGCCAGTGAAAGTTAAAGAACCACTAAAGACATGAAACGAAAATTAAATGCATTTGAAAAAAAAAAAATGCCTCATGAAAATGGTGATGAAAATAATGGGATGAGTTGAAGAAAGGTGAAGAAATAAGAGAAATGTCTGGACAGCCATGGGTAACAACAGTTATTAGACAAAGAAGATAGAACCAAACAAGTCACATCCTGAGAAAAAACAAGCAGAGAATCATCGAAAAAGGCACTATAATGAGAAATAAATGGATTGAGAAAGCGAGGACGCCAACAAGAGACCTTAAAACTGATTTTTCTGAGAGAAACCAAAGGCACTGGATTGAATTCCATTTCAGATATAGAAGAGACGGCACACGATAGAACGCAACAGAGGAATAGACAACGGGCCCAATGTGATATATAACGGCACAACACGATAACTATGATGATATAACTTCTGGGATGTGTGGTGTTGGATATTCATCTCCGAGGTTTTAATCCTGCGGACGAAAATCCTAGGGAGAAAAAAAACAAACAAATACACATTACGCGCATCAAGCCCCTTGTCACTCTCTTGCTTGTTTAAATAAAAAAAAAAAGCTATTGCTAGGCAGTGTGACACTTTGCTTCGTATTCTGAGTCTGAAAATTGGTTTCCATATGTTGAAGAGTTAAGATGGAAATTACGGTATTACTTACGTGAAACCAAACATGGATGCCGAATGGTTTGCAGTTGTTGAACATGCTTCTGCCATGTTTTGCAATGACCAGCCCACAACTGGCGAAGAACATCCAGGCTAGGGTCATTATAGTGCCTGTATCGGGATAGAGAGAGGACAAAATAGAAAACAAATCAACTGATAAATGCGCCAAAACGAACGCCAGGCATGCCAGGAACACGTAAACGCAAAATTACAATATGTGAGATAAAGTGTATTATAAATTTTAAAAAATTTAAAAAGACAGACCAACAAAGAGCTAAGAATAATGGTAAACACAGCACCGATAAATGATTTCATAAAACATCAAAGAATCACAATTTTTTGTCTTTTGGTCAGAAAAGAAACAAATCAACCAGAGCGTAATATATAAGAACAGCAGGCTACAGATCAAGAGGCCGACCAAAAAAGAAATGGGTAGACACTTCAGAAACGCAAAATGACATTACCACAAGCTCCGCAACTAGCAAAACACAGGAAACTATATCGAACTCCTCTTGTGACGCTTGACAGCACAAGCATTGGGACGCAAGAAGAAGACTACGGCAGAGACAAAAGTCTTCACCTGGTTTTCATTTAGCATTTGTAGTTATTATAGCTTCAGTGGCTTTGGATATGAATTTTTGTTGATAAATCAGAGAGGAGGGGATTTTTATCAGACGTTACGATGTTTTTGAGGCTGCGATTGCATCCTTAGAAAGAAGAGCAGGAGAATGCAGCAGAGAAGGAAGAGGAAGATAAAAGAAGATAAAGGGATAAATGACAAATAGAAAAAATAGGAACAAACAGAATTAGCAGTAGTAGTAGCAGTAGTAGCAGTAGCAGCAGCAGCAGCAGCAGCAGCAGCAGCAGTAGTAGTAGCAGCAGAAGAAGCAGCAGCATTAGTTGTAGTAGAGAAGTAATTGTAATAGTTTTAGCATCATAAAAGAAGTTGCAGCAGTAGTCGTCAGTGTCACTGGGGTTGAAAATGGAGGAGGGTCATCGGCAGTTATAGTATAGGGCAACAACAATAGCAGCAGCAGTAGTAGAAATAGTTGTAGCAGCAGCAGGACCAGAAACTGCAGGAGCAGAAGAAGGAGACAACGAAGAAGAAGAAGAAGAAGAAGAAGAAGAAGAAGAAGAGGAAGCAGAAGCAGAAGAAGAAGAAGCAGAAGAAGAAGAAGAAGAAGAAGCAGAAGAAGAAGAAGAAGAAGAAGAAGAAGAAGAAGAAGAAGAAGAAGAAGAAGAAGAAGAAGAAGAAGAAGAAGAAGAAGAAGAAGAAGAAGAAGAAGAAGAAGAAGAAGAAAAAGAAGAAGAATAAAAGAAGAAGAAGAAGAAGCAGAAAAAGAAGAAGAAGAAGAAGAAGAAGAAGAAGAAGAAGAAGAAGAAGAAGAAGAAGAAGAAGAAGAAGAAGAAGAAGAAGAAGAAAAAAAAAGAAGAAGAAGAAAAAGAAGAAGAAGAAGAAGCAGAAAAAAAGAAGAAGAAGAAGAAGAAGAAGAAGAAGAAGAAGAAGAAGAAGAAGAAGAAGAAGAAGAAGAAGAAGAAGAAGAAGAAGAAGAAGAAGAAGAAGAAGAAGAAGAAGAAGAAGAAGAAGCAGAAAAAGAAGAAGAAAGAAGAAAGAAGAAGAAGAAGAATAAGAAGAAGAAATAAGAAGAAGAAGAAGAAGAGAAGAAGAAGAAGAAGAAGAAGAAGAAGAAGAAGAAGAAGAAGAAGAAGAGGAAGAAGAGGAAGAAAAAGAAGAAGACGAAAATTAAAACAGGATTTACTTGGTTCCCCAATATATACATACCATGCGCCTTCACCAACGGATAGAATGGATTACGTGAACCAGAAATGCTGGCAACTTGTTGTAGGCTGACCTTCTCCGCTGACACTTCAGGTAGCTTTTCATACGAGTGAGGTAATTTATTACCTGTGGATGGCCCACATTGGACACACCATGAAACAATATCAGTCCAAAATTAGTGGTACAACTATCAGTTTCACAATACTCAATCTTAACGACAATAACAAGAAGAACTCCACAGTAATAAAATCCCTTGTCAACAATTGTTTTGGCTCAATACCTCTTATACAACTTCAGAGGGTGGGCTGTCCTGGGTCATGACTTCCAAGCCTCGTTCTTCTCCTGCTGCACTTGACCACATAGTTAATATTGTAGCTTGATAGCCTTCATAAGCATACGACTCACACTGACAATCTTACAGCTACAAAGAAGAATACATCAAATCACTCAGCTTTTTGGTGAGATCTGTCACCAAATCCCATCATTCGCTTGAGCAATAGAAGCTCTGTGTACGCGTGTGGCTGCCAGATAGAGACTAGACACGGAGTGACCCAGAGAGGTGGTATTTGTAGGCAGGTGGTGTGTACAATTACTGTATGTGTAATTTGGATCTTGAGCTCACAAAAAAGCAGAACACGAAAACATATGCAGAAAAAAAAACATATATACAACCCTCCCCCCCCCCCCCCCCAATGATAATATGAACAATGATAACTATAACCCGATGTAGCAAAATCTGTTATACTGCTACCGCAACACATGCGGACAAAGTCAGACAGCGTCTGTAGGTGGACTTTGACAATAACTTGTAATTCAACGACTGTTTTGTTTCACTGAACATACACGACAATGAATATACAGATGGGTTTCAGTGGGTGAGTGTGTCTGGCTACAGGTGTAGCGTGGGATTATAATCTTAGATCACTGAAAAAAAAAAAAAAAACGCCGTTACGGGGAAATCTGGGTGTTCTAATCACCTCCCTCCCCTTCTCCCATTGTATGAATGCCGACCAGTACACGGGATAGACCAAGCTTATTTACCAGAAACATGTTCATCTCTGCATTCAGTCACTTTAGGTCGGCGAAACGGAAAATAAGTGGAAAGTGGAAGAGACGAGGGGGGGGGGGGGGGGGCGTGATTCTGAGATATAAGGTCGCAAAGCTAGTGTCGTCGCCCCGAACTGCACAGTTTAGGATGTTCACTTTTACCTCCAGGTCGAACGCGAGTCTTCCGCACGAGGGCTCATTTGTCTAACTTCTCGTCTAGCCTCTCCTGCATGTATGAAAGGAAAGCACTATAAATAACAAATAAAATAAAAAGTCAAATACCTGAAACTGCCGTGCCTGTGGCGACCATCAGGTAATATGGAAGACTTAAATCAAACACGCGTTTCTCTTCTGGATAGGAACTCTTTCTAATGAAACTGCAGGCTAGGACGCCATCAATGACTGAACCTTTAGCATCTGAGATAGCTGCCGACTTCTGAAAAAGCATAACTGAATTTCTGAAGCACTGAAACAGAGCAATTGGAGGCAAATACATTTGGACAGAGATGCATACACTCAGACAGACAATTGAAGACACAGATAATTGACCTCTAGCAGACACAGGCAGACACAGGCAGACACACAAACATAGACAAATAGACAGACACTGAGTGTCAGAGACCTGTTTACTGCCGTCAAGGCAAATAGCTCCTTGGCATCCATTGTATCCTTAAAAATAACTAAACACACACCTACAGAGAACACACATATGTTTTTAACATAATTACCACAAGTGATCGACATTTAGCCCTAGAGACAGTTCGCAAAACCTACCCCAACCGGCCGGAGTGCTTTAATAAGGTCAGTCACACATTGGCCCTCTGGTTGTTTCCTGGCTTTAACCGGCACCGAACCAACAGCCACCCATCCAAACACTTTCCTACGAGTCTGCATCTTACACTGTGACTGCTGTGTTACTCTGCACGGCTCTGGTTGTGTGAACAGACCAAGATGGAGATGGCTTGGACATGCTTGCAGAACATGTCTCGTGACACTCTGGATAAGATAGCTTTCTGGAGGATGACCGATGGACAAAGGAGACGTGGACGATCTAAGGAGACCTGGAGAAGAACGATAGACAGCGAAAAGAGGGAATGTGAACCGACATGGAATACCATAGGCAGAAAAGTAGCAGACGGAAGCAACAGAGATCACTAGCGAACTCCTTATTTGTCAACAATGACACGAAGAATATATATATATATATATATATATATATATATATATATATATATATATATATATATATATATATATATATATATACATATATACAAGGTCCGACAATTGAGTAATGAGACTAATTAAATAAAAATTAAACTAATCTCCTGTTTAAGATATAACCTGTATTTTATTCCAAGTAAGCCCGCTGTGCATTGATACAGCAAGAGGCACGATCTAACAAACAATGGAACGACCTCTGTAGTTCTGTTTTTATGACCCTTAAAGTCAATGTCATGGTCCTTTGAATGTCATCAATATCGTTAAAGATGCACCCTTTGACTTTAATATTGGGAATATAAATTAAACATATCTTGGGAATAGGGTGGAAGGCTGAAAACACACTTAATTCTGAACCAAAAATTCTTGTTGGGATGGTGTCTCCTGGGTACTCAACCCGCTGATGTTTTTGGTCATCAAACAACGAATGTTCTACACACCGGCAAGCAACTTTTTACTTGCCCAAATCTTGCACTAAAATGTTATGAATGGTCTCTCTATTACCGCCAGATTCATCTGCTATCATCCTCACAGTAAAACACTGATTTTTTGTATCCGTTTTCTGACTTTTGCAATGAGTTCATCATTACGAACAGAAATTTGGCATTCGGGTCTAGGCACATTAGTAATCATTTCCACACCACTTTAGAATCGTGAATACCACCTAAAAATGTGTGCTCGAAATAAACAATTATCTCCATAAACTTGTTGCATCAATTGAACTGTTTCAATGCGCTTTTTTGGGAGTTTTAAAAAAGAATTTAATGTTAGCTCCTTGCTACGTACTGATTACGTAATAATGCACCTTTGACTAGGTCAACAAAATGGCGGCTTGTTTGTTGTCTGCTTGTCGAGCGGCGATGAAAAGTTGCCAGATCATAGATAAATTTTGCCTCTTTAGATTCCATGCTTTGCTTTATAGATGGCATTTTTGTCTTGGTCATAATAAAATCAGTCTCGTTACTTAATTGTCGTACCTTGTATATATATATATATATATATATATATATATATATATATATATATATATATATATATATATATACACACACACACACACACACACACACAAACTGATATGCCGACAAGTAACCATAACCAAAAAGACATACACACACACACACTCACAGACACCCGGATACATGGATACAAATACAGACAAATGCCCCAAATGCCTGGATATACAGACAATCAAATAAGCATACGGATATTCTTATGTGTAGATGCGTAGATGGACACGGTAAAAACAAACACTTGGATAGTTGGAGAAGAAGACGACGGAGGAAACTGAGATGACAATGGCTGAGGGGGTTATGGAGGTGAAAAGAGAAGTAAATAATTTTTTTCTTAAAGTATATGAGTGAGAATTATGAATTACATTATTATGTGTGGAGTTTAATTCATCGAAACTCACTCATCATCATCATTATCATCATCATAATCACGTGTCGTACCGGTAAGCGTGGTTTTCGGACTCAAAAGAAGACCTTCTTTCGTGTTCCGATTATACCTTGCAGTTAGATCATCTAGGTATTTTTAGTAGCTAGGCGAGATCAGTTCCCACGTGTAAGAGCTAACACGTAACATTTACACCGGAGAGTCTATTATGTGATATTTTCCTTCTCGTCCCTTCACTTTAAAGAGTATTCGCGTGCAGCTAGCATCGTATTACTGGTGACTAATAGTTTTTCCCCTCTATGATCCTTCTAGAAGTAAATCAAGTGGATTTACTTCTAATAATTAGTAAACAGTAATTAAAGATAGTAAAAAGCATTTTTCTTTAACAATAGAAAGTGTAAGCAACAACTACGTTCGCTACCTGCTCGCCTTGCCACTGGTATTTATATCCTTTCTCTTTCTCTCGCTCAATT